CCTTCCTTCTCCTCTCTGGGCATAATAAAAGAACGGATGTAGGAAACAAGACTATGTATTGAAAATTCACTAGTTTAATGCTTTTGGATATTCTCATCATTTCAAAAGGAAGAAGACAAGGTTAGTGGGCAGGTGTCTGGGAAGTAATTTGACTGCTTTGGGCAACTTACACAAATAGAATTTGGAACTCATTCTCATTTTATTAATTTATCAATAAATATTTCCCGATCACATTCTAGATGCCAGACGCTATTCTGGCACTAGAGATACTGAGCCAAACAAAGAAGACAAAAATCTTTGCCCACCTCATAGTGGTGTCTTGGATCCTGGTTTTATGGTGGCCTCCTATCTAGGGCAGACGTTCAACCTGATTTTTGTGCATAATATGTTTTTGCTCTTGTTTTGAGAGTAACATGGTGACTGTCTCCCATGGTGACAGAGTTAAGAGCTAATGGCCTGTCCTTATTTCCTGACATGGCCCCAGTCTGTTAGACAGAGTCTAACACACCTTGTTTAATTCTTGTCAGTTGTACAAAGTACATACTTCTATTTCCAGATGAGGAAACTGAGGCTCAGAGAGATCAAGTGATTTGCCCAAGGTCGTGCAGCGATTAAATGGCAATAATGGGATTTGAACTCAGGATCTTTCTGGCTAGAAAGCACATGCTTTTAATCAACCCGTCTCCCCAGTGGAACACAGTTTGCAGGCAGAAAGTGCCTTCAAGGAGAACTAGGCTGGAGTTCCAGCCCTTTGAGATCAGGAGGACACCTGAGTGATGGAGACCAAGGGGAATTAAGCGAGGCCTTGAGACAGTGTGAGGAGATTTTCTCAGCAGCCCCTTGAGTTAGGAAGCAGCTGCAGAAGAGCAGTCCTATGCTGCTTTGCCCTGACCTCTGTCACTCTCTGGTTTTCAAACTGGTGTGTGCAGAAGCACTGGAGACTTACCAAGGGGTACACTATTCAGAGAGCTTATGGGAATGAATTTCCAGATTCTAAAGCTTCCATGTAAGATTCTGGAATAAAAATAATCTATTAAAACTGCTGGAGGAAGCCCTGGTCCCAATGGCCCTCCCCCTCATGTCACAGAAGAGAGGCTCACCTGTTACCCATCCTGAGTTCCACTGAGTACATCACCCCAGGAATGAAAACCTCTGGCACCAAAGGGAGAATTAGAAACAGTTGATCACAGAGCAGCCTTCTTTGATGACACGTCAAAGCATCTTAGACCTGTAGTTCTCCTGCCTATTTCTATCCATATGAATTTCTGTTAGAGGGATGCTGGTTGCACAGTGGAATGTTTTGAATCCAGAACAACTTAAGTAGGACAAGTTAATGACAGTGATTCTTTTAAGTATAATGGAATTTTTCTGGACTTCTAAAATTTTCAAGATACATAAATAAGACCCAAGATAAACATTTTCCTTGCTTTCTTTCAGATACATCATGTATTATTTAATAAGGTTTTCACGTTCATTTTACCAGATTGCATCATGAAATCACATAGTTAGTCCTTATCTTATGAACCAAATAAATGTATTTAAATTTAGGGAATAGGCAAACACAAAAGTTTGAAGATCGTCATGGTACTTTCTTGGCTCGTTGGGTCTTTCTAGTCCTTGTTAATTCATTTCCTTCTCCTCTTACCCTTTGGCTTCTCTCTTTCTGCTCTCAGACTGTGTGAGAAATATTCCTGATTCCATGCCAGCATAGACACAGGACATTATTCCTTCGAGGAAAAGATGGCACTGTATTTGGACTACTTTGTGCTAAGTCTTCAGGGAGATGGGAGGGCCTCAACAGGGCAAAAGTATGTATATAATTCAATGGCTTATGTAAATTTACAGTTGTGCAACCATCACCATAATCCACTTATGAGCTTACCACCTATGTTTTCTTTTAGGATTTTTATGGCTTCAGGTCCTATGTTTAAGTCTTTAATCCATTTTGAGTTAATTTTTATGGTATAAGATAGAGGTCCAGTTTAATACTTTTGCATTTGGCTGTCCAATTTTCCCAACATCATTTATTGAAGAGACTATCCTTTCCCCATTGTATATTCTCAGCTCCTTCGTCATAAATTCATTGACCATATATGTGTAGGTTTATTTCTGGGCTCTATTCTGTTCTATTGTGTCTGTTTTTATGCCAATGCCATGCTGTTTTAATTACTATAGTTTTGTAACATAGTTTGAAGTCAGGACGTGTGATGCCTCAATGCCAAATTCCTTTTAAAGCCTTTATCTTTCTTGTACTACCTTGTCACACACAGTTAATGGCAACCAAGGCATGCATTTAACATTCTAATTTCCAGTCTCTTCACTTAAAGCCATAAGTTCACTCAGTTTATCATCTGTCTTCTAAGTTATAAGCAATAGTTTTACCAACTACTTCATTACTGCATAACATAGGTCACCTCCTTCCAGCTTTTAGTAACATTTCTTTGACACGGACCATGTGTCTCAAAGACAATGTATTTTTGTTGCAGTAGCATGCTGCTTTTGATAACAATTTCTGTATTAGTCAGGATAAAGAGGTTATGCTCCAGTAACAAATAGCCCCAAATCTCAGAGACTTATAAAAATAAGTTTTTATTTTCCTCATCCATATTACATATCAGTTTTAATTAACTATCCCTCTGCTCTGCATCATCTTTATTCCAGAACACAGGGTGATCTGGCATGCTGTTTGCCTTCTGAGAAAGAGAAAAGAGGGTGTGGTGAATCCTGCAGTAGCTCTTAAAGCTTTCCCTCACATATAGTCAGAGCAGGTAAAGTGGCTAATCCTGACATCATTGGGGCAGAGAAATATAACCTTCCCCCTGGGAAAGGCAGCAAATATTGTGAACAATAGTCTCATTTATCACATTATGATTTTTCTTTTATATCCTGGGGGCTCTGAAGAAGAGAGAAACAGCTGTCTTTATGTGGTGGTTTTGCCCAGAGTTGCCTACAGCTAGAGTAAGACAGGGTGACCTGTCAAAATACCTTACAGACCTAGCTAGGCCTTTGATCTTCATGATGGTTGGCCCCAGCCCTGTGGCTCTGATGCACAGAATTGTATCTGTCATTCCTTTTTCTTTACCAGCCCTCTGTCAGGAGGAAATTTGATTAGATGGACTGTTTTCTCTAGAGTTTGCTACCCCAAACCTCGTGCCTCTGGGGCATTAGTAAATCCATTTTTTGACCTCCGGCTTAAATTGACTCATTTATGTTTTTCCTCCCCAGCTGTCTTTTGGGGAGACATTGCCTTAGATGAAGAGGACCTGAAGTTATTTCACATCGACAAGGCTCGAGACTGGATCAAGCAGTCGGTGGAGGAAACAGGACACGGAACAGGTAAGTACTGCATTTCCCTCTTCCTCTGCTGCAGGGGGAGGGGTCAGGGACTCCAGCAGGGGTAGACGTGGACCACAAGTCATTAGTATTTGACCTGTCAGTCCAGTACCCACCTGTCTGTGAAAAACCAGAGGAGTCGCCACTGTAGACTATGGAGCTGGAGCCTCCAAGTGTGCTGGATCCCTTGAGAAGATCTAGTGTGCCTCTTTATCTGGGCTCAGAGAGTCAGACTGGAGCTCAGTGGAGGTTCTCAGGACTCTGGCCTGGAGTCCAGCACTTCCCAGCTGGAGAGGATTCTGGGTGGGCTCCATTTAGGGCTTGTCTGATGATGATGCTAATAATGATGATTAGCACTGGGGAGATGTTTGCCCATGGGTTATCCTGCACTTATTTGGCTGACAACCCAGGTGAAAATCCCCTGAGGCCAGGAAACCAGGATGGGGCTTCAGGCTTTGATTACTGTTTGATTACCTCCTTGCCTCTACCTTGGGGTCAATAGTTATGGGACTGGTCTCTTGAGTTCTCTTCACCTCACCTCACTACCCACTGGACCAGATGCCTCAGCTCTGTGGAATCTTCATTCTTGGAAGCACCTGGGGAGGCTGAGCTGTGGGGCTGGTGGGCTGGCATGGCTGATGATGGCTTGTTATTTGGTAACTAAGGCTCATGTGTGCGTAACCCCACACTGTCTCCGCTACTTGTGACCCTTTCACTCACCCTCCCTTTCTTTTTCTTGAGGCTTTAAAAAGAATGTGGTAAGAATACTACACATGAAATCTACTCTCTTCAACTTTTAAGTGTACAATACAGTATTATAAACTACAAGCATAATGTGGCTTTGCATATCTCCAGAACTTATTCATCTTTCATAACTGAAGCTTTGTACCCTTCTTTTGAGCATCTGTCATGGGCCAAGTGCAATGCTGGAGAGAGAAAGAGGAATATGATGTGACCTCTGCCTTCAAAGTGACCTTTTGCACCAGGCAGACAGAGTTTATACCTGGACAAGCTCTCTAACTTCTCCAAGGTTCAGTTTACCTACCTGTGAAATGGGGATGAGACCAGCACTCACTGCATAGGGGGTTGGGAGGATCATTTCTGAGGGTAATGGGCTAGCCTAGTGCCTGGCACATAACAAGTTCTCAGGCCATGGCAGATATTATCACTAAGGTGCTCCCAGTCTAGTGGAATGAGACTGAAGTGTAAATAGATAAACTTTAATTCCTCCTGGCAAGTGCTGTAATGAACCAGGAGCAATGAGAAGAAAGATGAGTGAGGGGAGAAGCCTACCTAGGCAAGCCAAGAAAGCCATCGTGGGAATGGGCACTCTTACCTTCTGTCTTAAAAAATGAGTAGAGTTTCTGAGGTGAAGAATCGAGGAAAGACATTTCAGGCAGAGGGGGAGCTATGTGCAACGGTGACGAGTGTGAGAGGGGCTGTCTTTATTCAGGGAACAGAGGAAAGGTGCAGTCCCTGGAGGGTGGCTCTTTGGGGTGGGTTATTGTAGAGAGATGCACCTGGAGAGGTTGGCTGGGGTAGATGGTGAAGATGCCTGTCGGAGGGGTGCGTGGACATGTGCCCAGAGTAGGGGACAACTCCCACAAAGCTCTATGCCAGTTGAGCTAATGAGCTGGGGATTTCCCCTGTGAGTTGCAGGGGCCCTGCCCAAGGTTTCTGAGTAGGAGTATGATATGACCTACTCAGCTCTTACTTGAGGTGGTTTTGGTGGAGTCCTCTCTCCCCCTGCTCTCCACAGCCCCCGGCTGCCCTGAGGATGTTGGATTCCTGGCTGGAAGCTTGGGCAGCCTCACTGCACTGCTTGCTGGTGGTGATGGTCAGGGAGGAGTTGTCAGGCAACCTCTTCCCGTGCTGCTGATGCACTTGGTGGCATCCAGAACATCCCTCATTCCTGAGGTTCCTTGCAAGGCTCTGAGATTTCACTAGAGCTGATTCAGCAATTCTTAATTTCAGCATTTCCTGGCACAAAAGGCCCTGGAATCTGTTATCTGCTTGGTAGGGAAGGAAGAGAATAGACCGTATTCACAAGTCTGGATGCGGTTCTCATTCATTCATTCATTCACTGAAACCTCTATTGAGCGTCTGCTTTGTGCCAGGTCCTGTGTTAAGTCCTGAGAAGGTATAAATTGAGTTTTCTCTTCTTCAGGATTCAGTAGCTAGTGGAAGAGATGGGTGCAGAAACCAGAGAGAGAGCTGAAGACTTAGCAGGGTACCAGGAAGCACAGGCAGCACCAGGGATGGAGGCCATCACTGAAAGGGGGGAGTCAGGAAGGCTTCCCAGAGGAGGGGTTCTGGGGAGATGGCAGGGTGTGCTAGACTGGGGAGTAAGACGTCAGAGCACAGAGGACATTCCAGACCGTGGGAGGGGCATGCAAGGGGGTGGGATAGAGTCACCATGAGGAGCTTCCATGGCCTCCTTGTCCAGTGGTTGGTTCCCTCTTTTGCTGGAGGGGGAGGGTGGGAATGTGCCCAGAGTGGCGGGCAACTCCTCTGGCTCATGAGGAACATAGCAGCTACAGGGACCGGGCCCAGTCCTGGGCTCCAAGCTCCTCACAGAGGTGGGGGGCGAGGGGAGAGCAAGAGGGCAAAGATTGTTAGGAGGTCAGGGGGACCCCTTTGCCAGTGGCTGGGAGGAGGGAGGAGCAGTTAGGCTTCTTTTTGGTCTCTGATTCTATTACTATCATTTCTTAGGGTCCGGGGGGCCTTTTATGTAGGATTTGAAAATGTCTATTTGAATTTTAAATGGGGTTTTAGAAACCAAATTATTTTTTTTAAACCAATATACACAACCTTAATTGACCTCTAACGAAAGGAAGCATCTTTTCATTATTCTAGCACCCCAACTAATAATACTCTTCCCCCCAGCTCTTACTTGGGAGCCTAGAGATGTTGATCTGATTGTATGCAATCTTATTGTGGTTAAATTTTTTCTTTAACTTTTCTTTTGCATTATTACTTAAAAATAGTGAACTTCACCTATCTCAGCCCTGCAGTATGACTAGTTTTTACCTACATCCACATAACCACCACCCAGACCAAGGAATGGAATATTTACAGAACCTAAAGATTCCCTTATGTCAGTACCCATCCCACAGTAGCCACTATTCTGACCTCTGTTCCACAGATTCATTTTACCTGCATGAAGGAGTCATGCTGTATGTTTTGTGTCTGTCTTTTTTCATTCAGCTTTATGCTGTGAAATTCCCCCCTGTTGCTGAGTAAAGCAGTAGTAGTTCATTCTCTTTCATCGCGGTGCAGTATTCTATTGTATGAATGTCCCTTAGCGTATTCATCCTTTTGTTGACAGACATTTGGACAGTTCACTGTTTTCAGCTATGATAAATAAAGTTACTACTGACATTCTTGTACGTATCTTTTGGTAGACACAAGCTCTCATTTCTATTGGGCATATATACCCAGGAGTGGAATTGCTGGGTCGTAGAGTATACATAAATTTAGCTTTGGTAGATATTGTCCAACCATGTTCCAAAGCAGTTGTACCAATATACACTCTGTGTGGGTACATATAGATTTGGAAAGCAGGAGGGGTAGCCACACAGGATCAAAATGAGGCCTTTTGGGTCTCGGTCTTTCCAGCTTGGGGACCTGCCACACACTCTCTGGGCCATCATAATTGTTAGTTGATGCCCACCCACCATCATGAAATGCTCGGAGTTGCCCCTATTAGCAATCCTTGTGCCATCCTTGGGAGACCTGCTGAGGCACAGCATAGGGGCTCAGGCTTGGCAAATGTGAGTGAGAGACCCCAGAGAGAGGCTGGGAGTGGCCAGCCACCATGCCAGCTGTATTCCCAGCTGGGTAGGGTTGCCTGTGCAGAAGGTTGTCTGAGGATGCTTCAGTGAGGGGAAGCCTAGCAGCCCTGCCTTTACCTTCTTCATGGCACTGCCCCAAGGCCTACGTGGTCAGCCTTGTGGTCTAAGAACTTGAGTGCCTGTCTTCTCTTTTCTTCTCCCCTGTGAACCAAGAAAGGGCAGAGTCTACACTATATTAAGCTTCGGATCCCCCATAGGTGGCCCAGCTCCTTGTACTTAGAAGGTACTGGCAGGAGGAAGAGGTAGACAGAGACTGGCAGACCTTGGAGCCATCCTCCTAGGGACTTAAGAGAGGAAGAGCTCCAACGGGGCTTTGCTTCCAGAAAGATGTTTAAAATACTGGTCAGTTACGGGCTTTGGAGTCAGATTGCCTGGGCTCAAATCTTTGATCTGAGTCTCAGTTTCTTTATCTGTCAAATGAGAATAGTATGTTGTGAGGACAAAAAAAAAAAAAAAAAAGAATATGCATAAAATGCTTAGCACAGCGTCTGGCACATAATAAATGCTCAATAATATCAACTCTGCCTCTTCCTCCTCATTATTACTAGCCATATTTGAGAAATCCACAGACTTGGGAGGGCTCAAGGTTAAAGTAGAGAATGGGGGAAATTTGCTATGTGCTGGAGGGTTGAACGTTGGGGGCTTGGGCCTGAGGCCTTTGAAACATGCACTACCTGGTGTTTCTTCCTTTCCAAGCTTCATATATATACATGTACATGTATATATATGTACACACACACACACACACACACACACACACACACACATACACACATACACATTTTTTTTTTCATTGCATATTTTTTTTCATTGCATTTTTATGGCAATGTGATTTTTATCCTGATTACTTTTCTCTGAGGGCCAAGAATACTTTGCATCTATCTAGAATAGTTATTTTATTTTCAGAATGGGAATATTTTTTATTGTTTTTGCTGATTAAACTAATACTACTGGTCATTAAAAAAAATTCAAGAGCTCAAAAGTGTAGAAAGTAGAAAGTGAAAAACCCTGTTATCCCAGCCCCGGGGATCCCCGTCATTATCTGTCTGATGGATTCCTTCCAGCCTTACTATGCTCGGGCTTTGAACATGCAGATATTTTGTAAAACATAAAAGAGATTGCTCTCAACACGCTCTTGTGTAACCTGTG